GCCGTGTCTTGTTTAGATGTTATATTTCACCTATCATCAAGACAACCTCCCGCTTGTCTGTCTTTCTCTATCATAAAAAAAAAATAGTTACTATATGTAATTCCAAATCAGTGTGAGTTTACACAATGATAAGAGTAAGTACAGACAAGGGGATTATAAAATCTGATTAAGTTTACGTGTTAACAGAACCGTGGAGTCACAATTGGCATCCGTACTTGGGTAATTAATTCGTTACAACGAGTGCCTTCGAACGCCATCACTGGAGCCAAATTACGAAAACTCTTTCGCAGCTTTTAAAGGTATAGCGACAGAATCTCAAACAAGTCGGTACAAGTTTTACATTCGTATCAAACCGAACTCGCTCAAGCATAAATAATAAAATAGCTGAAGAGTTTCTCTGTTTGAACGCGCTAATTACATTAACTGCGGGTTGAGATTCAGAAAAAACTGTTGGCTACAGCATTTATCGAGGAAGGCTTTAAAACATCACGCTGCAAACAATAAGAGCGAAGAAAGTGGGAGACGTGGAACAAATGGGGAAAATTTTCTCTTTAATAATCTAAAATATTACCTACAAAACAGGTGGCGCTAATGTAGCAGATTTGACTTTGATATGAGGATCGTCTCTTTAATTTGCAGTCATCCGAAATGTCGGGCGCAATTAGTATTGATTAAAAACAAGTTTAAAACCGTTAAAAGTGTTTTATTTAAAAGCATGGGGTTAGAAGAGATGTGACAAATTTAAAAATTAAAGTTAGTTTATGTTTTCGCGGGACATTTGTTTGTGCGTTGGGAACTGTATGAAATGTCACTGATCTATTTTCCAAATTAATTTTACACTTAAAATAACTGAAACCGTTCACGTTTCTTAAAACTTCGGCATGATTTTCAGGGCGCAGCTCTTGTTACAGGCTAATTATTGCGCTTTGTTTTTCCGATTTGTTAATTAAATTTTAACTTAATACAGCGGAAAGCGTCTTTAGCTCAGAAAACTTCGAACAATGGCTGCGATGGAAGAGGGAAGTCAAACATTTTAAAACTTCGATGAGCTCGAAAAGGCCAGAGTTACATAACTGCGCCTTGGAATTTCTTAGAGAGTATGAAACGCGAATAAAGACCTGGTGCTCCTAATCCGCGGCATATGACTACTTATGTAGCTGAAGTCAGTTCAGTTTAACCTTAGGTATTAACCTAGCCTTAAGAGCTTCTTTGCAAAACTAACTGCGCCGGTATTGTATTATATTTACTTTTAGAATAAATTCAAGAGTCCATGTTAAATTGGCAAGTTAAACTAATAGGGTAAGTTTAAATACAACACTTTAACGGTTTAAAACGCGATATATTAGTTAAACGTATTTTAAAATGATTTTTAACTTCGGCCCGACGTTTGGGATGCTTTACAGCAGCCGTGGTAACGGGGAGACTAAAGATGGAGGATGTCTCTGACGTCAAAGTAAAAAATTGCTACGCTACCGCCATCTGTTCCGTCGCAATTGATATAAGGCTGCTGCAAAGCATCGTAAACGCCGGCCGAAGTTAAAAATCATTTTCAAATAAGCTTAACTAATATATCGCGTTTTAAACGGTTAAAGTGTTTTATTTAAATGTGTACTACTCGCGTAAACTATTGACACTATTTAATGGGGTAAGGTTTCTCCAGAACTATAGTTTACGCCAGTAGTACACACTTAAATAAAACACTAGTAACGGTTTAAACGCGTAATGTATAGCATTGTTTGAGTATCAATCCACGAGTTAATTATAGACTATATGATAAATCTGTACTAATATTATAAATGTGAAGAATTTGTTTGTTTGAACGCGCTAATCTCAGGAACCACTAGTTTGCATTAATATTTTTTTTTTTGCGTTGGTTGGATTCGAGGAAGATTTTAGGCGATAAAACATCAGGCTGGTATCTACATAGGAGTTAAGAAATAGAGAGAAATTTGAAAAAAAAAACGGAGCTAATTGTTCATTATTTTCTTATTTCGGTTTTAATCAGTGGATTATCCAATACAGAGATTAGATAATATATGGCTGGCGTAACACTATACTATCGAGTATACGAAATAGAATGGATAAATTTATGGTGGTTTATGGACAAGTTAAATTGTCTGTAGTTAAAGCGAGGAGTACACATTTAAATAAAACACTTTAGCGGTTTAAAACGCGATATATTTTAGTTAAACTAGTTTGAAATTAATTTTTAACTACGGCCCGACGTTTCGGATGCTTTGCAGCAGCCGTGGTCACGGGGGAGACGGGGCAGTTAAAAAAATTTTCCAAACAAGTTTAACTAAAATATATCGCGTTTTAAACCGTTAAAGCCTTTTATTTAAACTACAAATCTTTTTATAATATTTTGCACTTGATGGCAGTATATATACATTAAAATAAGAACAATAGCATGGAACCTTGTGGTTGTTCGTTCAAGTCCTGACCGTGTCGTATTTTTTTTATTTAACTCCAAATCAGTGTTTCGAATCCGAGCAACACTTGAAAGATGTTATTATCACTAGTAATTTTACTAAATCCAATTCAGAAATTGGTTCTTTCCGAAACAAATCACGTATTCGACCGATATACCAATAACAAAAAGACAAATCGAGACTGCCTGTAAAGTTCCTTTCCGTCCAAGTCAAGCTCGTTTTAGGTACGAAATCCAAAAGTCCAATCGAATACTCAGAAGTTCCTCTCCAGCAAAAGTTTATTTGAATAAAATTTCTTTTTCGTAACGATACGTGACCTAGGTAAAAAACATTAGTACGAGTACAGTAACAGTACTAAACCCAAAAAATCTAGACCATAGATTGTCATCTTAATTACTTAAATTTTTACGTCATTTAATTTCAATCATCATTGATGTATAAAAATAACTTCTTCTTCTTCTTGGTAGACAACAATGAAGTAAAACGCTTCCGAACGGTTTAAAACGCGAAACACAAATAAACTTGCGATTACATGGTGCTGTAAAACATCCAAAACGTCGTTGTCTGATTATTTGAATTATCTTTAAAAGAGAAAAGGTATTTTTTGGTTAAATACAATAAATACGGATTCACTGATCCAGTCTATCATTAACTAACTACATAGGACCAACATGACACAATAGGTATGTTACAAGCATAAATAAAATCAATTATTGATTTTTCAAAACATACATTTCTTGTCTGGAATATCGAAATTCCGTCCGGGTCGTGAACTATCGTCGTAACTACAGATGGAAAAGCCGGCTCGAGTTTGTGCATTCCCGAATGTCCCAAGCCAAAAACGGTCGACAGCGCACCCAAATTAGATAATATAGGGTGGGACAAGAAATGCCAAGCTTGTCCGTCCTATGATAAAAAATAAAATAATTCTACAGCTTCTTTTAAGGACGAGAGGTCGTAAGTTCGAATCCTGGGGAAATCTTTACTAACATATAAAGCTGAAGAGTTTGTTTGTTTGATCGCTCTAATCTCAGGAACTACTGGATCGAATTATTTTTTTTTTTTGTGTTGGTTAGAGCATTTACCGAGGAAGGCTTTAGGCTAATAAACAATTGCTCTGCGACTAACAGGAAAATTTTTCATCTTAGAGTGCACGTACGCAAAAACGGTTCAAGACACCCAAAAAAAAAATGTATTGAAGTATGATTCCTCTTCAAGTGATCTAAAAGTAAGTCCTTTTAGGATTAACTTGCAACGGCGCGATACGATTGATGTCGTTGGTAACAGTTTAAATTTATAAAGATAAAGAGGAGGTGTGCAAAGACAAATTTTGGATGCCTTAAATTACTATTTTACGCAGTCGCTGACGCAGCTAGAAATTAAATTAGTTCGCTCGAAGAAGGCACTGAAGCTCAAGCGACTCTAGTAAAAGAATTTAACTATACTCCTAAAGTCCTAATATGGGAAAGATTAGAATTATAGTTAAATCCCGCCGTATGGACGGCGATAAGAATATAGTTGAAAACAGTGCAACATTTTGATTGAACAATAGTGTGGAAAAGTATAAAGGAACAGGCCTCGGTGCGTTTAATATTCAAGCTACGCGCAGTATATTCATCTTGGCATGTGGGCCGGAGCAATTTTTTCAAAGAGATATTGTTTAATTTTACTCCTTTCTTCAGTATTTTCATAAAAAGGTTCCAAAGATGCACACATTGAAACAACAATTGCATACCAATGCAATAATGCATAACAATCTGCCTAGCAGCGGTAAGACTTCAACAAGTTTAACTTAATTTAAAAATCGAAAATAAATTGAAAAAAATTTCGACTCGGGCAGAACTTGAACCGGCATCGTCAGCTTTCCGTACTGTTGCTTTACCAATTGAGCTACCGAGTCCTACACCTCATCGTCGAATTTTTCAATTTATTTTCGATTTTTAAATTATATAGTGCCTTCATGTGCAATAACATGTGAAAAATATTAATGTTTTCAAGTTTAACTTAGTTTAAAAATAAATTATGAAGTCACATCTTAAACTGTAACCCTCTCAAATCCTAGTTTTATATAAAATAGCCCGAGGCACACCAAAATTATCTCGTTTTAAGTGAATTGTAAAAAATATACGAGTTAATTAAAATCTTTAAACCTTATAAGGGTTTAAAACACCAAATATATAAGTTAAACTTATTTGAAAATTATTTTAACTACTGCCCGTCGTTTCGGATGCTTTGCAGCAGTCGTGGTCACGGGGAGACTAAAGATAGAGGGTGTCTCTGACGTCAAAGTAAAAACTACGCTAGCGCCATCAGTTCCGTCTTCTTCAAATAAGTTAAATCAGGTGTATATATTTTGAATGTTCGCTTTTAAATAAAATTACAGGTTTAATTCACACGAAAAGATTTCAACCGGGGTCAAAGATCTGACTTTACGATAAAGATTTTCAATCAAGGTTTTTTAGGTTAGTACTTTCGGGATCCGTTTTGGGACAATACAGCTTGTTGCTTCGTGCTTGACGAAGATCCTACAAAGGGAGTATACACAGATAATAAGGGTATTGTACTTACAGTTCAGTCCTAAATCATGATAGGTCACCAGAGCTGGCTTCATCGTATCTCCCTGTACAGCCACAAGAATCCGCCCACGGTCTGTATTGATGTGTAGCTCGAAACATAGGTGGTTGCTGAACCGCCTTGTGGAAGGGAGCTCACCCCTAAAACAAAATTCCGCATTTCATATCGTACCGCGGTATACGCATTTCCTTTAATACGACATGACATTTAAATTGGAAATTCTTCTTTAAATAATATAAAAAACTGCCCGCGACAACGTTTATCTTTTAAGATTATATTACAAGTTGTTATGGTAATTTTTAAATATTAAATTTAATGGCAAAGTTCTATTTTAGTCTTTCGTCAGCTAGTCGTAAATATGCATCATACTCGTCGTAAATAAAATATCATTTTTATTAACGTTTTTTATATGTCAGCGAGAAGCAGCTTATAATCGTTTTATTACAAAAAAAGAAGATTATTTGAAAACCTGATCTATAAATTGTAGAAGAGCCAACAGAATATCACTATATAATGAAGCTAAACCCTTAAATACCAGCCACGGAACCACAGATTATTCAGCTCCGTAGTTAAACGCAAAAGGAGGTTTAAGGTCTTTTATTTTAGTAGGAAAGGAAAAGTTTCGACTTTCCTCTTGAGGGAGTTAAGGTATTGAACGGAATTGTTAGTTAAGTTCCAAAGTTAAATAACAATTCTTATAAAAACTTATATTCAATCCTTAATGAGAGGTGTTTAAGATTTATTTGTTAATCGCGTTTTCTCGCTTGCCTTAAAACTAAAGTGCTGCGTTGGAAAGACAATAATTAAACAAAGTGCTAGCGTAAGACAACAAAAACCTTTTCTTTCTTGTATAGATTGATAAATTCAAAGAACTACTTATTAAATAAAACACTTTAACGATTTAAAACGCTATATATTTTAGTTAAAACTGTTTGAAAATTATTTTAAAAAAAATACGACCCGACGTTTCGGATGCTTTGCAGCAGCCATGGTCACGGAAGGAGACTAAAGATGAAGGATGTCGATGTTACCAAATATATATCACGTTTTAAACCGTTAAAGTGTTTTATTTAGATGTGCATTACTCAGGTAAACTACAGACAGCATTTAAATCTAAGAACTATTAAAAGCTTACACATAGATACAGCCTCGATTAGTTCTCGTTCTAACTATAGGTAAAATAAAAACTTCGTTAAAGAACACCGGTTGTGCAAACTTATAAATTCAAATTACATTTAACTGTCAATTACGTTGTTACAATAATTGAATTATTAAACAAGTTTGAATAGGACAGTAGAGAATAATATAAGTCTAAACGCTTGTGCGGAGTGCCTAGTGCCAGACCGTGGCCCGCTTTACGTTCAGTTCGAATCGACCCGGCTTCTTGGCAGCATTCCAGACATGAGCTACAAAGTACCTCCAATTTGCGAACGGCGAACGAAAACGAATAACGTTAATGCACTTATAAGAGTATTCGTCAATTATTAATATATAGGGATTCGATTTCCCAACATTAAAAAAACTAAAAAAAACAATGAAATTTTATTAAACCAACTTAAATTAAACCAACTCTAGTACAATATTGTTGTTTGAATGTAATTTTAAAATTTCATAGAGTAGCCACTTTTGGGACCAGCGCCCCATCTATATAACTAGCTGTATATAACTAGCAGCGACTTAGTCCCCGAAGAATAGTCATTTTGGGCATCTAAATTTCAACTTTGTAAATTTAAGGTGTTACAACGTCGGTCGCGTCCCGTCCTGCAGGTCAGTATGTTCTTACAAGTTAATCTTAAAAGATAGACAGACTATCGCGGAAATTTTTCAGATCATTTAAATAGATATAACTATTTTCAATATTTTTTGGGTATCTTGAACCGTGCTTGTTGCGCACGCATTACAAACCCGCAAGGATGAATACTTTTCCCAGTTTTTTCACATTTTCCGCTGGTTCTGCGCTCCTATTGGTTCTATAGCCTAAGCCCTAAGGCATATCTAGCACGATAATTGCTCGAACCAACACGAAAATATTTTTTCAATTCGAACCAGTAGTTCCTATGATTAGCGCATTCAAACAATCAAACTCTTCACCTTTATATATTAGTATAGATAGAAATGTATTGGCCATATGAGAGTTATCAAGTGACATGAGTTGATACATTTTTGGTGATAGTAGCATATGAGTTACCGGGCTATGTTTTTATTAATCTGATCGCGTGTCACATGTAAATAAACTTGCTAACTTGACATACAAAAAAAACCAACGTGACTCTTTTACAATGCGAAAAATATAGCATCAACGACGACGTCACTTGCTTATAAACAGTGCGATACACCACCGTGCTTCCTAGTGTTTAAACTGTTTTATTCTCTGCATTAATAAATAAATCTGTAACTCAATTTTTAGTTCAATCACTGTTAAAGTGTTAATGTTTAATACAATCGCATCCAGATTGTAGATCATATGATCGACATACACCAATGGCCAATATAAGGTCGTGACGTCACTAGCCGTATTGCAGTGTTATTTCTCAAAATTTCGATAAGGCGCGCAATTTAAATGTTAGATTTTTGTTATGAAATGAGAATTTAAAAATACAACTTTTCTGGGGTTCCTTAACATGTATAAATAAGAAAAAGTACAGTTTAAAAATTAGTCAAATAGCCCATTATGTATAGGAAATACATAATGGGCTTTTCATTTAAATATTGTAATTCATACAATACTTTAATGAAAAGTCTTACATTATATAAAATTCGTTGGCTGTATTTACCAGGGTGAGTCATTAAATAATTATTTCAATTACAAAATAGTATTCTGTTTTACGTTTGGTTACGAAAGTTTTTCTCTTTGGGATTATTCTTTTGTCGCTTATTCGCTTATCGGCATGTTCATTTCAGGCCACATAAGGACAATAGAATCAAGCGCATGAATAATATAAGAAAAATGCAACACATTTCTTATTCATACCTACTAATGACGACAATGTAATTTTATTTTACTGGCAAAAAAAATACCTTTTTTGTCAATTTGGGTCTAGGACACTTTGAAAACAAGACCCCTTTAAGTTTTTCTTTATATATCTGACAAGAAAGAATATGCCTATAAAATAAGTAAATAAACATGTATATGGGTTAAGCACTACGGGTGCTTTAATAAAAGTGACAGGATTTCCTGTAAGATACCAAAGAATGTGCAAAGTGGTGGAAGGAGCATGGAACTTGGAACGCAGGAATGCTCTGCGTCCACGATACAATTTCATAACAATGTTTCCCTTTGCTGGCAAGTTTAGAAATAGCAAACATTATGAAATATCTTATGTAATTGGAAATTTGATTAACAAGATCAAACTTCGAACACTTAGTGAACTATGTGTTCCAAAATTTGTGAGTAAGAACAGACTATGCTAAGACGAAAAGTTTTGGATTAAGGGGCAAAACAAAATGAAGGTGAAGCTTTATTTTCTTGTATTGGAAAGACTTTTGAAATAAAATAAATTAAGTAGGGAGTAGAATTTAGTACAAAAATGTTAAACTATTATCGCAACATAAAGCACTGCCGATTGTGAGCTTAGTTTATTAGATGAAATAATAAAAATATTTTTAAAACGATTTGAATTAACTTTTGAAGAGCATAAAACATTGAATAAATAATTAATACTAAAATCCTATATTTTTTTATAATTTCATGAATAAAATATACTAATATGCTTATTATGCAACAATTAAAACAATAAATCACCATCAAACACAAAACATTAACAAAAACCTTTCTTAATATTTAGATATAACAGATTCATAGAAAACAATCTTGCATTAAAATAATAAACTTAAGATAAATAATTAAATATTATAATATTAATAATAAAACAATAGAAATATTACACATTTGATAAGAATTTCACATACAATTTAGAATCAAAAATTAAATACTTGTACGTTGTTTGTTTCAGTTGGGTTGTATGTCGGCTGTGATCTGGCATTTATCTTCTTTTTCCACCATATACACATGTATGTACTTTAATTATTTATTTAATAATTTGTAATAAAATGTTGCGTGGATCAAATAATCAAATTTTAAATAATATAAAATAATCCATACCTGAGGAGTATAGTTTCCTCTGTACAGTACATGTCTCTTCTTTAATGTTTTCGCCCAGTAATCTGCAACCAAAAATAAAATACATTACCAAGTCTTATATAAGTGTAGACATGTAAACATATTTTTGATGGAGTAAAGTTTAAAATGTGTATAGAGACATTTGTTTTAAATCAAGACATTACTTTTGAAAAAGAAAGAAAGAAGAAATCAGGGTTAAAGTAAAAGATTAAGGTAATACTTTAAGACGTATTTGTAGTAATAATATTAATTTACACCAAGTAGTAAGTTCATAGAATATTGTAAATGCACCTTACATATTCTCTCTTATTGTACTTACGATAGTAAAAAAAATAATAATAATCGGATAAGTATTAAACATTCTCACACAAAGTTTTACAACTTTTATAAAACATTTTTTAGCTTTATTATTTTTATGAATTTTGCGCAATATATACGTGACACGTTGTTATTTAATTAATGTAATGAAATTAATACTTTCTTACCTTTATTAAGTATGAAATAGACTTCCGTGAAATACACCAACAACACAAAAACTTTTTCAAATGTTTCCCGTGATGCAGTTTCGTCAACACACCCGTTCAAAATTCCGACCCGTTCTGACAATTTAATACCTTTTGCAGTTTGCGTTAAGTATCTATACTGTATACATCTGCTTTTAGGAATGTTGGCTTTTGACAACTGACGTATTCCAAACTGAAATCTGAACTGTCAGGCACAATGACATGTCATAGATAATAAATAATATTACAATCTATCAAGTGTTACTTTATAGACTAAATATTTTATTTTATTAACGTGGAAGCCAGTCTATTGGACTAAATGTTATATTATACGATTATTTCATTTATAAAACATTTTCTCGTTCTAAGGAAGATACTATTTGGTCGTTTTAGGAGTACAAAATATATCCAAGACATTTATAAGGCTATGTACGAATTACCAGTTCATAATTATTTTACAATAGTCGCAATATTGTTATTTGTAAATAAAATATGATGTATAAAATATACCTTTTTTATAGTTCGACCAATTTTTTACAAGAAATTGGACCAGGTAAATAAAAGAAACAGGGAAAATTATTCATCCTTATGGGTTTCCGATTCTCACGCTGCGGAAACGGTTCAAGACACCCAAAAAATATGTATAAAAGTTTTCAAATTATCTAAAAAAAGTCCGTAACGCTATATGCCTATCTTTTAACATTAACTTGCAAGAACGACGGGAAGGGACGCAACTGATGTTGTGGGTAGTTTAAGTTTATAAAGATGAAGGGGTTCGCAAAAACGAATTTGGATGCCCAAAATAACGCTTCTTGCGTACGAAGTCGCTGACACAGTTAATACTTCATATGACAAAAAAAAACGTTTGCTAGGTCATCTTGGTAGAAAGAACATAAAATTATTATAGTTATTTTATAAGTGAAAGGAAATAGTATACAATTTTAATTGCCTTATCTAAAATACGTTTTAAATAATATTTTTTAAACTAAGTGCATTATTATAATTTTTTAAATGAACCTTCTAGTATACATTTAGCGAATTGGCTCTAAAAAAAACCTTGATGTATAATTATTGTTAATACTTACTGTACACGAGTATATTCTTGCACCTCTATCACTGTCGACACCGAAAATATCCTCCCATTGCGTTTTATACTCCTCACATTATTTGCTTCTTCCATTCTAAATGTTGGTTCGTCTATTACGAACCCATAGTTATCCATATTGTAAATCAAAAAAATACAACTCTCCAAAGCGAAGAGTTCCGTTGCGACTGAATCTAATTTCATTGATTGTCAATGGAAATCGTAAAGGTGCGGTGCATTGTTAATTCAATGGATAATAATATGAAAAATCTTGGTACGTGCGCAATAAATAGGTCTCACTTTAAATGACTTTATCACTTACTATCTACGACATACGAATTATATTTGCCTATTACCCAGTAATTATGCTTAAGCTTGTCGAAGGTGGTTTTATTTAAATTACGCGAACAATAGTCAAGTCCGCGTTATTATTTACAAGATACACATTTTCATTTATTTTAATAGTTGTATAATTTAGATATATAGTAATTAAAAAATAATAATCGATTGTAAATTGAAAAAAATACGACACGGGCAAGGATTGAACCTGCATCCACAGCGTGCTATGCTGACCAATTTAGCAAACGTGTCCTATACGACATAGTATATATTGTTTTAGTCAATTATCAAAATAAAACTAATATGTCACGAAAATAATACCTTAAAGCTTTGCTGGATGTTTAGTATAGTTGCTACTTGTAACTAAAACATGTTAGATTTCGTATGAAAAAACTGCACCGGATTTTTTTAAGTGAAAGGTCTAAATAAGTCGACACCCTCCATCCAGGTGGTCTGTCCTCCTTTGCAATGAAATATAACTCCTAGACAGATCGTTGTGATACATGTCAATATAATGGGAGAGTATTGAGTAGAAAATAATATAAAAGTCTAATATGATATCGCGTAGTATTGCCCTCAGTTTTTTAATTTACCAAAAACGACGTTAAGCAGCGACTGATACAATTAATTCTCAATTATCTCTCATACCTATATATACCGTTTAATCAAAAACCAAACAAAAAAATGCCACGAAGGGAGATTAAAGTCGCACATAACCGCACACATTCTCCACCCTCATAGGGGTCCCTTCTTTACTGTTATTACTGTTTAAAAGAAACTCCCAATACTGTACTAACATTTCTCTTGACTTTGGCACCAATCCCAAAATTTTCAGTTCAGTTCATCTTTAATAACGCTAAAGCGTTTGTTTGTTTGAACGCGTTTATCCTAGAGACGACTGCTTCTTCTTTAAATAATCCAAAAAAAAATTCAATAACACTATTTCTATATTTTAAGACTAGCGGCCCTGCCCCGGCTTCGCACGGGTAGACATAAATAAGTACAAATATTTAAATTATAAGCATACTAATTAAAACGACCATGAATCAGTAAATTAGAAAAAAATTGTATTGTACGTCCTCTCTGTTAACGACCGTGGTCTATCTCGCTGGTTCAGGAGCCGCTGCGAGCGTTCAGTGTTAGTGTCCCATGCCCTTAGCTCTATTTCCTTAAATAGCTGAGACGATCTTGCATTTTGTTCTGCAAGACGAACCTGATGGTTAAAAAACGTTAAAAAAGTAATCACCAGGTATTGAGACAGTTTTGAATATTAAATTATTTATTTGGATAAAAATTTATAAATGGTATGGATAACACGGTCTAATTTTTATCGGCATTAATTTGTTAAATGTAAAAAAGTAGTTATAGCGACGTAACTACAATAGTTAGACATATGGTCTCGTTTTTTGTAGATATTGATATATTCTATAATATTGTCAAACATTTTTTTGTCCTATCATTAATACTTTTCGCAGCGTACGCTAAGAACACAAGACATTTTAGGGCTAATTTTTTTACGCTTCCCATTGGTTTTAGTAAGAATTTCAATAGATGTCTATAGTAATCAAGAACTAAATATAGCCTATGTTACTCAGTGATAATGTAGCTTTCTAATGAAAAAAGTTTTCATTAAAATCGGTCCAGTACTTTTCAAGTTTGTCCGTTATATACAAAAATACAAATCTTTCCTCTTTATAATATTAGTATAGATTAACTTGTAAGTTGAAATACAACACGACATTTGGCGCAAATAAATTACATCACCCACTTGACAGTACCGTAATATTTCTTTATTATTTCTTTGCTGGTAACTCTAATCAGTACCAATGCAGGAACAAAATAATTTTACACACTTTTTAAATATTTTACTTGGCAACATTTTGGACAAAATTGCGTAATGTCATCGTATGTCAATGTCAAAGTCACAATTTGAATTTTTTGGTGCACAAACCCGGTTCTCGCAGGACTTTCGAAAATTTTTGTAGAAAAAAATCTGGTAAGTACATAAAGAATATATTGATGTAAACTAGACTTATTTTCTGAATGCTTTTTACGGTTTCTGTGCTTTTTGCACTGATATTTCTTTGATTTTATTAGGTTTAATTAGGTGGGAAATAATTTCCCAATGTTCGTTCCTGCTTTGATAAACATCAGTGTCTTTATATATATATAAAATTGTTTGTCAGCTGTAATAATAACGGTATAGGAACTTGTAATACGATAGTGTGTAAGTCAAATTAGTGGCTTTTTGCAAAATTGTGACTGCGTTTATGTGATTTCTATGCTTTATTCCAAACAAAGCCACTTATAAGTTTTAGGACTTTTGTAACTATTTGTGCAATGTGCTGATAAAACTACATAATTGCCAACTTTTTATAATTTACTTTCAGCTATTCCCGATGAGATTCGGCTGCTAAGTGTTGGCATACACTTGCCTGAAGAAAGTGCCACTTACAAAAGATGTCGCTTTTGCAGCACAAAGAACAGAGGACAAAAATAGTATGTTCCTCCTGTGGAGTAGCTCTTTGTGCCAAAAACTGTTTCAAAACCTTTCACACAGTTCTTACTTGTAATGTTATTTTCATATAGTATTTGAAAAGTTCTTAATAAAATATTATTTGTAACATTCTAGTTTCATTTTATTTTTATAATTTTATTCAATCACTCAATCGTGTTATATTGATTTTTTTATATAAAAAAAATAAACAAGTAAAGTAGGAGTAAGTAATATGTATAGAATTGGTAGTAAAAATGTCCCAAAAAAATGTAACCATTCCGGATGATGGGAAATAATTTCCCACTTAATTATATTTTGCTTTTCCATACTGGATAATGGGAAATAATTTCCCACCATAATACCCCCATTTCCCCTCTTTTTATAAAAAAAATGATGCTTTTTTCGAAATCTACAAAGCCCTTTTACCTAGAAACCATGTTTAATTCATAATTTTATTTAAAAAAAAAATCCATTTGATTAAGGGTTAAATTTGTTTCTCCTTTACATATGACTTCTCAAGGGAGTGTAAATACCACAAAACTATTTAACAAAAAATATATCAATAATAATAACAATTTCAAATACGATATAATATACAATATCGTATTTGAAATTGGTCTATGGGAGGATTTTTGGGGAGTCTTTTTTTAATCCAATCCTATCCTTTTTTTAATCCGATCGTTATTATTTTCTTTTGCACAAATTCTCTTTTAGGGGAAAGGGAATGTTTTATTTTTTTTTTCCTATTCAAAGGTCATAACATTGAGCCATAATCTATGAGAAACTCTGTAGTATGAAAATAATAATGCCTGAATTGATTATGTGCCAATTAAAACTTCAATAACAGAGATAACTAGTGTTGGGGGTGATAAATTAAAAAAATAATATTGGTTAGTACTTTTAATCTCTCAAATGCTTAATTGACACTTAGCACTTTCTGCTACCGCTGACAAAGCTGGACTCTTGGTGTAATAATTCTGAAAGTTTCGCAACTAATACGAAACAGGTAACGTCTTATTTGTAGCAAATAAGACGTAAAAGTAACTATCCATCAGAAGTCGCCTTGTGACCATGGCTGCTGCAATCTGAAACATTAAAAATAATTTTCAAACAAGTTTAACTAAATATATCGCCTTTTAAACCATAAATGTTTTATTCAAATATCCATCAGAGTACTATTTCCACCTATCATCAAATTAAGCAGTTTCCGTACATTAGTAGAACCAGTTGCCTCATTTAACTAAATCATAATTAATCTTAAATGGTGATTTGTAAATTGACTTCTTGTAAGGCTGTATGTTTGTGCTTTATTCATTGAATAACAATTTTTAAATTATCACAAGCTTTTCTCTGTAACCCATTTATGAGATAACCCTAAAAATATAATGAATCTAAATTTATAAGTCAGTAATACAAAAGGCTTCTACTACCTTACTGTCTTTGTTAACATGGACACAGTTGGAACTGAAGAAAAAACAATACAATTTAGCAACTCAGTATGTATACCTGGTGTACAAGCTTACACTCCTGTAGAAATCTCATTTAAACATTGTTTAACAATATCCAGCACAAAATAAACCAGCATCACACATTTTTACAATTCATGCCGGCCAGGACAATGGAATGTAAATGGCAAAACCTTTCCATCCATCTGAAACAAAAAATTAAGGTAATTATATTGGGATGTTTGAGTGTAATATTAATTTAAATCATAAGAATAAGCTACTAGAGACCCAACGGCAAAATATTTAATTTTTAAATTAAATCAATTATCAAACAATGTCAATTCACTTACATCAATATGGTCTTCATTAAGGAAAAATTTTCTACTTTTCGTAATCATCATGTTTTCTCCGTGAAAGTTGGAGCGTTTTCGGAGACTTTGTTATTCTTTAGAACACTCACAAATAGTGTTCCCAAAGTTTTTATATATGTATTTTCATAGTAGAACTGCACATAATTTGTAACACTATTTACTTGGATTTGTTTAAAAAGGTAACGTCTGGGCCAATTTTACAAATATATAATTGACGCATAATATGACATCGACATATAACAATAAAGGCGCGTGGCCTCACCGAAACAGTGCTATTTTGTAAAACGTACGTGTAGAGTTTTCAGTTACAAATTCTTCAGCAAATATGTATATATACTAGATTTCAAAAAGACTACAATTTGGGGTTCCTTAATATCTACCTGTATAAATAAAATGCATATTAATAAATAATAATCAGTCTAATAGCCATTAGAATGAATTATGAAGCCCACAGATAAAACTTCTGCTTATTCTGTGATTTATACTATGTAAAAGTTCTCGTTTCCAGGCCATAAATATTATAAAAAAATTATAGAAAGCCTCAAGGCCAAATCATCTATTTTCTCTGACAGTACCCATCAACAGGTTTCTTGTAATTTGTAGGTTAAAGAAATATTACATACAAACAATAATTCTAGAAGCATGTATTCCGAAGAAGATATTGTATCTCTTAGTGCATACTTCGGGGAGTGCGTGGTTATTGACGGTGATGAACTAGAGGATCTTTCGGAGAAAGCAAACAACTGGTCGCAACGTGAGCTACATGAGGTTATAGAAACACGTCGTGGAGCCGGTTTGCCACCCGAAAGCACGATCCCGCAAGAAACACCCGAACCCACGATCCTGGAAGAAACACCCGAACCCTCAATCCCGCAAGAAACACCCGAACCCCCTAAAGAGTACAGTGATATAGACAGTTTTACAAGATTTTATGTAGGTCTATGCGTTTCAGCGAAGTGCCCCGTGGTGGTAGAAAATTTGTTTAAACTGATTCAATTAATATATCCTGAAGAGTGGCATCTATTATACCATACCCCCGAAGAATTCATGTTTCTAGGATTATTTCCCTGGGTTCATGATATACCTGTCATTATCGAGGACCAGGAAATCTAAGAGTAAAGGATCGAAGAGGTGTTATTTATAGAGCAACAGTTATATCCAGTGTTTTTAATGTTATATACTGTGAACTATAAAAGACACCATTATAATTTACGTTTACCATGTTATTTTCTATTGTTAGCAAGGAGTGCACTTAGGGGCTGAAAATACTGTTATATTACTCTACATTGCCACACTGGACAGAGGAGCCTGTTTTTTGGATGTAATGGATCTCCATTCATCATATGATTAACGGAGGCAAGATCAGTTTTCTATTGGAGAGGGCATACCCTATGTTGTCTGTCAACCTGAACAATCAGTTTAATATTATTATTCTCTTCTCCAATCTCCGGAAGAAAATGTCCCAGGAGAACAAGTGCCATTAGAGTCCCTTCTTGGCATGTCTTTGAAGTATCATTTTTCTAGTCCGCCTCTCGTAGATCAGGATACCCTGATTTATAGAAGAGATCGAATGTTCTAAGACCACTTAAGGAAGAAATGCTAGTGCTGGTAGCATTAGATCCACTACAACTAGCAAGTCCGAAATCCTACAATTATATATCCACCAAAATTAGGCCAGAAAATCAAAACTTATTTGGTAAATTTTGTTTTGAGCATAGTTTTAGAAAAAATAGAGAGCTTGTTACATTTCCAATGAAGCTTAGAAGTAAAAATAGTTTATAAGCTACCTCTCATCTACTACCATTAAGTAATTTAAATGATCTGGTTTTTGTGATATATTCTTTGTGATGATAGGTTAAGAAAGATGTTTTTGTTATAGGACTGTTACAGAGTCAAAGTTGTTTTTGGTATATTTACTATTTAACACGAGTATTTTTAGGATCTTTTACATTTCTGCTGTGTTATTATGAGATAAGGAAAACTTTATAGGATTGTAAGCGGTGCAGGTTTATTTCTGTTCCTACTTTAGATTGGGAATCATTATAAAATACAAAGTTTAAGCTTTAAGGTATATATACCGATTGTCATGACACGACATTGCTTTAAATAAACTTTGTAATGACTGAAAATTTCCATGTAAGTTAATACCTTAAGTATTTTGCAATAAACATTTGAAAAAATTATGCCTTTTTTTACCAAAACCTAAATATTATCTAGTATCACTGGTCTGCAGTGAATGGTACCATTCCTTAGTAGCACAGTTTAATAAAAATCTCATAGATTTTAACTAAGTCAAACACAGTTCAAATTTGTAATATATCCTTGGTAGTTACTAAGTGGTACTTAACATTATAATTTGACCTCTTTTTCATACACAAAGTGACTCAAAAATAAACTTTTATAATCACAAAAAATAACGACAGGTATGCAGAAGAAGGACCTTTTTAAATCATTATCCAACAAGGCAATGCAATGATCAATGCTTGTAAAAAGACAAGTATTTTTTTGTACGGCCAGAACAAAAACACAGGCTGATTAGTACTTTAATGGTAATAGTCTTCATATATTGACATCATCTCTCTAAGAGAAAATGTGTGGGGCGTTTTCGCCCGTTTTAGGTGTTTTTGCCCTGCTGGGCAGTGGTGTCTTCGGGCACGTGGGACGGCTGACTCCAAGTCAGCGTGCTGCCTCCGAGGTGGCAAAGGAGAGGCGCGGAAGCGGCTTCGGCCGCTTTAGGAGAGCTGCAGCTTCGCTGCGGCATTCGCCAGGGTGGGTCACGTGGTTAAGGCTCTGCTGATACCGTGGCTCATCGTTAAGCGATAAGACGGCGCAGTCGGTTTTTAGTGCGGTATGCCCACCTCTTTCGAGGTGGGAGAGACCCACATAACCCCTCGCAATTGCACCGCGCCGCGAGAGGTATGCTTAACAAACTCCGGGAGTGGACAGCAGCCATTCGGCTGTCTCTCCGCTGGCGAAGTGTGGCGGCATCGTCTTCCGCAGTCTCGCGGCACCCCTCCCCTAAAGGTGGTCACGGGCGGGCGACGGCCTTTGGTCCGTGTCCACTGGGGGAGACAGGCTAGCTCGCTTTCACATATGGGCTGCCGCTTGAGCAGTCGTTAGACGTGTCAGCTTAACACAGAGCCGTACCCAGGGAGGCATTTTCCGACGGTACAAAAAAAAAGTATAAGGGAAGGAACTATTATAACATTCAACCAACAATACCAATAAAACCTTGGTTTTTTGGTGTTGATGCAAGTAAAATAATAATTTCCACTATTAGTCGCATGAGAATTGGACATATGTATATGTATTCCTAGTCATTTAGCCAAAATTGGTGTTTTAAGTAATGCTACTTGCGAGTGTGGTGAGGAAGAGGGAAATATAGATCATATATTTTTCTCTTGCCGCCTGTTTGCCTGCCATTCCTCCTTTTATTCCTCTTTAATTTCATCGAATATTCCTCTTCCTACTCGTATGTCCTATCTATGTATGTATCCTATAAAACATTTTAAGATCATTTCTCATTTTATATTTACCAATAACGTAAAACTGTAGTGTTTTTATTTTATCTTTTTAGTTTATCTACATTAATATATTAATTTTGCCTAACTCTCCTGCACGATATATAAGCCGTCATATCCTTTTTCTCCGTGTAAAGTTTCCCTACCTTTAACCACAGCCTTTAACTTGACACTGGCAAATAGTGGCAATAATTCTTCTTGCCACAAATGAAAAAAAAAATCTTTTTATGTGACAGTGGCCATCAACACTTGTATTGTAATTTGTAGGTTAAAGAAATAATACATACAAATTTTAATTCTAAAAACATGTATTCCAAAGAAGATCTTAGAGCTCTTAGTTCATACTTCGTGGAGCGCGTGATTTTTAACGGCGATACACTGGAGGAACTTTCGGAGAAAGCAACCAGATGGTCGAAACGTGAGCTACTTGAGGTTACAGCAACGCGTCATGGAGCCGGCTTGCAGCGCGAATGCATGATGCCGCAAAAAACACCTGATCCCACTAATGAGTATGGTGACCTAGACAGTTTTATAAGCCTTTATGTAGGTTTATGCGTTTCAGCTAACTGTCCTGTGGTAGTAGATAATTTATATTCACTAATTCAATCAATATATCCTCGAGAAGTGTGGTATCCATTATACCAAACCCCCAAAGAATTCATGTGTATAGGATTATGTAACTGGATTAATGTTATACCAATGACTCTTAAGGACCAAAACTTTTTGGGTAAAGGATGGAAAAAGGTTTTTAATAGAACGACGCTTATATCCAGTGTTCCCGAATGCGCTACTTTAATAGACTCCATTATGAATTCTGATAACCCAGTTATATCTTTTCGTTGTCAAGGATTGCACTTAGGGGCTGCCGGCACTGTAACTTTACTCCAAATCGCTACAATGGACAGAAAGGCTTATATTTTTGATGTACTGACATGTCCTGAAATGATCAAGGATGATGGAGGCAAGATCAGGTTGCTATTGGAGAGCCCAAATGTAACTAAAATTGTTCATAATTGCTCTGTGGTGTCTGTCAACCTGTACAATCAGTTTGATATTATATTAAGAAAAGTATTTGATGTTCAGATAGCTCATGCACTTCTAAAAGCTCAGGAAAAAAATGTTCCAGTAGGACAGGTGCCATTAGAGTCTCTCTTTGATATTTCTTTGAAGTATCATTTTTCTAGGCCGCGTCGTTTAGACCAAGACAGGCTACTTTATAGAAGAGATCGCATGTTTTGGGCCAAAAGACCACTTACACAAGAAATGATAGTGCTGGCAGCATCAGATCCACTACAACTAGCGAATCCAAGATTCTACAACTATATATCCAGCAAAATCAGACCAGAAAACGAAGAGTTTTTTAATGAACTTTGTTCTGAACATATTTTTAAATACATAGATAGAGACCTGCATATATAAGGAACTTTGGTAGTCTTTATAACATTAATAGTCTATAACCTAACTCTTTTCTACTCTTTCTACTACCATTAAGTAATTTAAATGATCTGGTTTTTTGTGATATTTTCTTTGTGACGATAGGTTAAAAAAGATGTTTTTGATATAGGACGGTTACAGAGTCAAAGTTGTTTTTGGTATATTTACTATTTAAGACAAGTATTTTTAGTATAATTTACATTTGTGCTGTGTTATTATGAAATAACAAAAACTTTATAGGATTGTAAGCGGTGAAGGTTTATTTCTGTTCTTACTTTAGATTGGGAATGATTATAAAAATACAAAGTTTATGCTTTAAGGAATATATACCGATTGTCATGACACGACATTGCTTTAAATAAACTTTGTAATGACTGAAAATTTCCATGTAAGTTAATACCTTAAGTATTTTGCAATAAACATTTGAAAAAATTATGCCTTTTTTTACCAAAACCTAAATATTATCTAGTATCACTGGTCTGCAGTGAATGGTACCATTCCTTAGTAGCACAGTTTAATAAAAATCTCATAGATTTTAACTAAGTCAAACACAGTTCAAATTTGTAATTTATCCTTGGTAGTTACTAAGTGGTACTTAACATTATAATTTGACCTCTTTTTCATACACATTGCTCTGATCTGAAATTTCTTTCTACATAAGAAGTATTTGACTGGAACCAACGCATGGAGGAAATTGTCATGCACACAGCACAGTTTAAATCTCTCCTTTCTCATTGTATTCCCTTTGAGAACTTTGATCTACTACTATAAAAGAAACAATACTATACTATATACCGTACTACCAGTTTACTTCAATGATAATCTGCACTCTAAATCATAGGTTTTATGTATTATTAAAAAAAGAAATTACTTTATAGTTTACATTTGACATAACTTTTCAAAGTGAGTAGAAGTACTACAAAAACTTTGAGAGCTTTAAATAGTGTATTGTTAAGAAATAGTGACAAGCTTGTTTCCCCCTCGTGGGGCAAGGGGCGAACACATTTCTGTGTCCGTTCCACTGATCCGTTCTTTTAACAGGCAAGTAGTTGATCAGACTTCTGCGCTCTGCCCGACCAAAGCAATTTTATGTTTCCCTGGGATTCAAACCCAGAACCTCTCGCGTTTGTTTAGCCATTTAGCTACAGAGGCAGATAATGTATTATAAGACAGCATCAATATTACTATAGTATAACGATTGTAGAACCTGTCGATATTTAATATGCCAGGTACTATGTGTTCATCAATAGCATTAAAGAAGCTGTCTGCGTTTCAATGTAATTTTCCCTTTCTTAATTAAATCTTATGATCCTCATTATTTTCTTTTGCAAATATTCTATTTGATGAAAATATTTAATCGATCAATTTGTAATCAGCTCAGTGCCAACTAAAACTTTAATGACAGGGATAGCTAGTGTTGGGGATGATAAATTAAAAAAAGAAAATTGGTTAGCACTTTTACTCTCTCAAACGGTAAATTAACACTGGTGCATTTCTGTTACCACTGATGAAGCCGGACTCTAGGCGTTTTGTTTCTTAAAGTTCTGCAACCAATAAGAAATAGATCTAATTAACTACTTCGCAGGACCTTGTTCTTTCTCATAACTCACACAGAACTCAGGAGAAAACTCTATTAGGTTTGTTGTTGTTTACATATTTCAAAACTTGAGAAGTTAGGTATGAAAACTTGACTCCTTCCTATTTTAAACATTCTTACCTTACTAGTATTATAATTACAATATATGTGTTCCTGGAAGAAGGTTGCAAGGCTGTGTTTTGCCTTACACGAGTGACCTATCGGCCTTATTACAAAAAAAATACTCCAACCAGGTATAAACCACGACTGTGGAGTCTTGGTTTAACTCGTGAACCATGGTCGAAATGAATCCGTATTACAAAACAGGAATTTAACCTTGAGTTCAGAATTCAGAAACTAGGAATATAAACCATTGTCAAACAATTACCACAGATCATTAAGTATTTTCTTTAAATACCACAGATAATTATTCCTTCACAAGACAATTCGATAATCTACGTTTCGTTTCTGCGAATTTGGCTATCTTTTTTAAGATGAATAAAATGGATTCCTATAAAGTACGTCAAACGGAACGTCATTTGCCGCCAAGCACGATTTTTGGAAGGTGCACCTTGAATCTTGATACCAAAGCAATTATCCTCTATTGCTTCGTTAAAACACTTGCTTTATTTCCAAAAAAACTTGTGGTAAATAGCTAAAGTTATTTTTAATGTTTTAGGAAATACTTAACCTGGAAAATAAATTGACCAAAACAACTATTAATAATCAAAAAGTCCGGAATGGAAACTAATAGCCACGAAGTAAGTCGTTTAACATATAACAACTACTGTATTATAAGTCAAGTAATGATGACTAACATGTTTCCTAGAATAAGCGAACTCACTGGTAAAACGACATTTGATGTTGAGGTGAAGTTGGCCTGGAAGAGAACGAAGCTTTCAGCGAAAGACAACGTATGCAGAGACAAACAGCTGATAAGCACAGGTGGTGATGAAAAACCAAAATCACCTTCTCAAATAGATCAGACAATAATGGAAACAGCTCCATTGGATTTCATAACATGAACCACAGGTAACATATTTTATTCATTAGGTTAGCGAGAACATAAATAATTTAATTCAAATGATTATTCTTCCTCCTTAGGTCGACATAACAGCTTCTGTCCTCTCTGTTCTGTCTGACCAGAATCCATACTCTCAATATGTGATTAAAGGACAGGGAGGATCCAAGGACAGAGAGGATCCGAGAAAACATATAAATGAAGTGAGGGTAACATAGGGGCAAGGTAAATTCATTTGTTACATGCTAAATATGCATACTAATGTAACTAAAAAAGAATTTATCTTTTTTAGTTCTGGATGAGACATCGCAGCAAAGAAAGGGTCATTCCAATAAGTAATGTTATAATTTCCATAGCTACTTGATATATTGTTTAATTTTATAAGGTCCCTACTGCCAATTTAATGACAATGCTTTATTTATGGTAATTTACAGAAAGAATACATGCAGGACTGAATAATTCTGTTCAATAGAGCATTCAAAAAAGGCAATTGGAGATAATGGAAGTGGAACATCACTATAATGTGCGAATTGCAAAATTATAATAAAAATAAAGAACTAAATTTAGAAATAGATCTTCTAGAAAATAAGAATAAATAACTTTTAGAAAAAACCTGTTTTTTTTAACATTTTTATTATGAATAGGCGGGGTGATTATGATTTGTGGGTGGCTTGTTGCTCTTCCTTGATGTTCTGGGAGGACTCTCTGCTTGTTCTGGCATAGCATCTACACTGTCTGACATGTTTTCCCATTCAAATGGCCAGCATAACAAAGGTGGCATGCTCTCTGGAAAAAAAATACAGAATCAAATTGGCTAGAGTGGTGGTGTGATTCTCATGTAGACTACAGTAAATACTTAACACTTGTTAACGTCTTCTTTGAAATCCTTCAGCTTATCAGTACTTCTGGACAAGGAGGTCTGTGTTTACAGCTAATTATTTTGTTTTACTCATGGCTTTACTAAGCATCTGAAATATATGAACAATTGTAAGATCTTAAGGAATAGAAGCTTATATTTACAATATTAATAGTAACACTCAATTGAAATTAATATTAAATACTGTCTATAGTTTACGCGAGTAGTACACATTTAAATAAAACACTTTAATAGTTTAAAACGCGATATAATAGTTATAAACTAACTACCAAATAAGTTTAACTAATATATCGCGGTTTAAACCGTTAAAGAGTTTTATTTAAATGAAATGAATATTGTTAATCAAATGGTAAAATTTCATTTTTAATTCAATTGCCTTGATTTGAATATGTATTAAAAGGTGTAAGTGTAAAATGTTTTAAATTTCTGAAAAGTAAAAAAGCTTGAATGCTTTGAGATATTGCATGGCTTAACGTCTACAGCAATGCACAATTATGTCAATTAAAATAAAATATTCAAGAGTTAAATTCTTACTCCTAGATACGCTCAATACTCTAGTTTCCCATTACTGCTGAAAGTGGCTTTCTATGAACTGCCTCCTTTTAATATTTTCACGGATATTATAAACCAACTGGTTAATTATTACTTCAGACAACTATAATAAAATAATATATTTAATTTACAGTATGTTGTCTACAAACAATAAGGGCAGAACATAATTATTATTTTAAATTGGGGGGCACTAATAGACGGACTGGTAAGCAGTTCACAAATGCAAAAAATTACATATTTATTATTATTTTTCCAATTCTTTTTATTAGTTTGAATAATATGTGTATTGAGTGGTACTACACCAATAACTTATGGTTTTATAATACATTTTTACCAAATATAACACTCAAGTTGTATAATAGAACAGAACTGTAGTAAGTAATTACCTGAATAATGGATCCCCATTGGTATTATTCTCATCCAGCAACATATCTTCTCTCATCAATAGCAATATTATGCAACACAGTACATGCTACAATAATTTTTCTTGCTGTTTCAATATCACCAAAAATACCCCTCAACAAACAACAAAACCTTTGCTTCCACAAACCAAAACATCTCTCTACAGCTTATTTTGTTCACTTATGGGCACTGTTATATTTTCCGTCATAAAACAATATCCTGGGAATTCATATAAACATAGAATAGAACATTTTAAAAACCTAATTCAAGTGTTGCCAGCTAGTATCAATATATATAACCTCCAACAAACCCCCTCTACACTTGAACATAATATTTAACATTGCATATACATTCATTTGGCATAACAAAAACTGAACTGCCCCACAATAAAATGGTATCCCTAACTAAACCAACCAACTTTCAAACTTAACTATTCCATAACATTAAACAACTACCATATTATCTAACTTCAATATTAATATTAATTATTCGCAGTGAGCGATTAAACAAAAAGCAAATTACTAAATACAGCTTTATATAATATGCATATTAAGAGATGGTTTTTTATAAGAAATTATTTATGTTATATTTTTATAATGTATATATAAAGCCATCTGCCAATTTAGTACCCAATCATAATCTAAGTATTTTGCAAAAAAAATCAATATTAAAGAAATTGTGTTTTTGAATAGCAATTCCTGAGACTCCTGAAATTTATCTATTAAAGAGTCTGTTGGGTTCTCCAATCTCCCTATCTCCTTGTGCAGTTGTTGCGTTTCTATATCATATTTTAAACTTAAATTATTAAATTCTATTTCATGCAACTCAATATTACCTCGGAGTTCAATATTTTCCTGCTTTAACTTTATGTTAGATACTAACTTTTTTGTTTTTTTAATAGCCTTTGTGTTCTACTTATAAACTTATTAATTTTTATATATTTTTTTAGTTTTTTGTTGCTACATCCAACCAGGCCGGTATTACTCGGTGAGTTTATATTTGCACTATGTGGTACGCCACAAACTAGTTCATTGAATTGGTTTTGTGTCTCCAAGCCCAAATTCAACTGAATGCCTGTTTTGAGGCTGTTGATCTGTTAATTGGCCTCACATAAATCCTTTTCAAGAATGTTAATGCGACTCAAAGCAGTTTCATACTCAAACCCAAAGTTGTCTAGCCTATTAAGTTGGTCTTGTATCCCGTTCGTGTTGTATTTTGGTATTTTCTTGAAAGAGTGAAGTTAACTCTGATTTGAGATTCTTTTTACTCTCTAATAACTCCCTCTCATTTTCCTCCCTTTCCAATGTTAATTGAGCACAAAGGTCCTTCAAAGACTGCAATTCTTTTAAAGCCAGTTTTAATTTAGCCTCCTCTTGTGCGGCAAAGCCTCTTCGAGTTAACATGACTTTAAAAAAACGCTTGTCTTGTGGCAAGAAGTAAGAATGTACTCAATTTGGTGAAGTAGTTTGTTTTTAGCAGGTACACCGAACTATATTAAGTATAAATTACTTGAAGGAAGGTACTTACGTGACTGTTGTTTCACTTATATTACCAAATGAACTACAATATCAAACTTAATTTAATGAAAAGAACTTATAAATTCAAATTTACAAAGATAACTGTCACTTATATTTTACTTTCACTTTTTACGATAACTACGGGTTTTTAAGAAAGGAAATTGTATTTCTATGTGATTATAAAGATGCAAATTTTAAAATAAGCAATAAATATAACGTTAAAACAGGAAAGTGATAATATTTTTATAAATATTTAACTGAGTAATCAAAAACAGCTGTTAACCTGACAATGTTGCCAGTATATCTCACTTGTGACTTTAATGCCCATCATATTGCATTTGGCTGCCAGTCAACAAAAAGTAGCGGTCAGGAATTATTTAATTTAATTTGTGTATTTCAAATGATGGTAGACCTACAACTATAAATCGTCCCGGACAAAATGATTCTGCCATGATGATACTATGGGAAGTTTTCATTATCCAACAATCACACAGATTTTATTACATATAGACAAATATCATCTTAACTCCCCTGTAGATAGATTCATATATAAAAAAGCTGACTGGGCAATATACACGGCTCTTTCAAAAACAGTTAATAATTATTAATTGATACTTCAATCACATGATCCTATTTTAACCTATAATAATTTCTGTTTACATTTAGATACTCTCAGAATTGTCAATTCCGAAGCTCATTAACACAAACCCTTTTATAAACAGACCACCATATCCATATGTGAACAAAGTGTTATTGCTTCATATAAAGCATTAAAATTATACAGAAAAGTGCCCACTATTGAAAATTATATTAATTACAAAAGAATTGATGCACAGAAAAAGAGATAAATTTCAGAACAGAAAAAACTTTGATGGAATAACTTATGTAACATTTTTAATAGAAATACTCCCATTAGTAAAATTTGGAATTTATTAAAAATGTTCAAAGGACCTAAGAATAAATCATATACAGATGAGTTAATATCTCCACTCTTGGATAAATTATCAGATAATAGCAACTTAATTAAAGTAGATCAATTGAACAGTCTTTTTGAAATCAACAATGATAACCCAAATTCAAATTTTTTGCTGGACCCATTTACATGGTCAGAACAAACAACAACAAGTTTACACTCTAGAAGAAACACGACTCCTGGCTTAGATGATTATCCTTACATTATAATTAAAAACTAAGATGTATCAGCACAAAATTTGTTTCTTAACATTCTCAATTTACTCTGGCGTAATAATTCTATTCCACAGTCCTCGAAAACACAGCGTGTTATCCCCATACTAAAGCCTGGCAAATCTCCTCAGTTTGCTAGTTCATATAGACCAATTTCTTTGTCATCCTGTCTTGGTAAAATATTCGAAAATATGGTGAAAGTCCGTCTCGACTGGTATGTTGAATCGAAGTGTTTCATTCCTCATATACAATATGGCTTTCGTAGAGGGCGTAGTTGTGCCGACAGTTTTCCCTCGTTAATCTCTGACCTGAAAAATGTGAAACATAGAAAATTAACATTGTTTGTGTATTCTTAGATTTTCAAAGTGCTTTTGACAGTGTTGATTCTGGTATACTAGTTCAAATCATGTCTAGGTTAGGTGTCCCTGGGCACTTATGCAAGTAGATCTTCTGCCTGAATTTTCTGAACAACAGAATTATCTATGCTAAGCATAACAATATTTTAACTGGACCCAAAAGTGCCTCAAGAGGTACATTGCAGAGTGCCACACTATCTCCATTACTGTACAATATATACACAAGTGAAATTTGTAAATATGTAAATAAAAGTAATGTAAATATTTTACAATTTCTAACATTAGAAAACAGTTTCCAGGGCCAATATACTCGTTCTCTTATCAGGCATTAATGTGTATTTGTGAACTAAATAATAAGAAATATTTTTTAATCATTTCGGATTCCTTGAGTTTGATAACGGCATTCACTACCCTCACAGTTAAATTCAAGTCTAATTATATTCTTTACTTCATTAAACAACTAATTCTCCAATACCACAATAAAAATATCAAAATTTTCTTTCTATGGGTGCCTTCCCACAAAGGTTTCTCTGGCAATGAAGTGGATGATAAGACTGCATAAGTATTCAAAAGTTGTGGCTAGGAATGTGGAAGAAAGATCAAGACACAAAAGGAAAATGGTATGGAAGCATACAAGAAAGCTTACCTGAAGGACCTTGGTATCACCGTATGCAAAATGCTACCCGAGACTTTATTACTATCATAAATACACTGCGTTTTGGTCATAATACCGCACCGTCACACCTTGCTCGACTTGCCATTATTGCGAATAAAATTTGTCCACATTATAATTCGAACGATGATACTGTGGAGCACAATGCACATTATCTACGACTGTCAAGTGTCAAAATTTTTTGATCGATATACTAGTGTTGGCCAGTGAACTTAGTGATGTTGAAAATAAGTGTGATTTAATGTCCCGCCCGCCGCCAATAAAACAATTATTGCAAGACGCACTTACTTACAAGCACATCTAGACATACATAAAGAATACAATTAAAACAATTTAATGAATTGTGCTCATAGGCGTAATATTACGTCTACGAATGTGCTATTGAAAAAAAGAGTACACCTAAAGGTTGTACATACCAGGTCATAAAATCCAAAAAAAAAAAAAAGCACAGGTGACAGACAGCCTCAAATCATTCGCTTAATGTGACAGTGGCCGTCAACACTTCTATTGTAATTTGTAGGTTAAAGAAATATTACATACAAATTATAATTCTAAAAGCATGTATACCGAAGAAGATCTTAGAGCTCTTAGTGCATACTTCGTGGAGCGCGTGATTATTAACGGCGATACACTGGAGGAACTTTCGGAGAAAGCAACCAAATGGTCGAAACGTGAGCTACTTGAGGTTATAGCAACGCGTCATGGAGCCGGCTTGCCGCGCGAATGCATGATGCCGCAAAAAACACCTGATCCCACTAATGAGTATGGTGACCTAGACAGTTTTATAAGCCTTTATGTAGGTTTATGCATTTCAGCTAACTGTCCTGTGGTAGTAGATAATTTATATTCACTAATTCAATCAATATATCCTCGAAAAGTGTGGTATCCATTATACCAAACCCCCAAAAAATTAATGTGTATAGGATTACGTAACTGGATTAATGATATACCAATGACTCTTAACGACCAAAACTTTAAGGGTAAAGGATGGAAAAAGGTTTTTAATAGAACGACGCTTATATCCAGTGTTCCCGAATGCGCTACTTTAATAGACTCCATTATGAATTCTGATAACCCAGTTATATCTTTTCGTTGTCAAGGATTGCACTTAGGGGTTGCCGGCACTGTAACATTACTCCAAATCGCAACAATGGACAGCAGGGCTTATATTTTTGATGTACAGACATGTCGAGAAATGATCGAGGATGATGGAGGCAAGATCAGGTTGCTGTTGGAGAGCCCAAATGTAACTAAAATTGTTCATAATTGCTCTGTGGCGTCTGTCAACCTGTACCATCAGTTTAATATTATATTAAGAAATGTATTTGATGTTCAGATAGCTCATGCACTTCTAAAAGCTCAGGAAAAAAATGTTCCAGTAGAACAGGTGCCATTAGAGTCTCTCTTTGATATTTCTTTGAAGTATCATTTTTCTAGGCCGCGTCGTTTAGACCAAGACAGGCTACTTTATAGAAGAGATCGCATGTTTTGGGCCAAAAGACCACTTACACGAGAAATGATAGTGCTGGCAGCATCAGATCCACTACAACTAGCGAATCCAAAATTCTACAACTATATATCCAACAAAATCAGACCAGAAAACGAAGAGTTATTTAAAGAACTTTGTTCTGAACATATTTTTAAATACATAGATAGAGACCTTGCTGCATATATAAGGAACTTTGGTAGTCTTTATAACATTTATAGTCTATAACCTAACTCCATAAGTACCATTAAGTAATTTAAATGATCTGGTTTTTTGTGATATTTTCTTTCCGACGATAGGTTAAAAAAGATGTTTTTGTTATAGGACTGTTACAGAGTCAAAGTTGTTTTTGGTATATTTACTATTTAACACGAGTATTTTTAGGATCTTTTACATTTCTGCTGTGTTATTATGAGATAAGGAAAACTTTATAGGATTATAAGCGGTGAAGGTTTATTTCTGTTCTTACTTTAGATTGGGAATAATTATAAAAATACAAAGTTTAAGCTTTAAGGTATATATACCGATTGTCATGACACGACATTGCTTTAAAAAAACTTTGTAATGACTGAAAATTTCCATGTAAGTTAATACCTTAAGTATTTTGCAATAAACATTTGAAAAAATTATGCCTTTTTTTACCAAAACCTAAATATTATCTAGTATCACTGGTCTGCAGTGAATGGTACCATTCCTTAGTAGCACAGTTTAATAAAAATCTCATAGATTTTAACTAAGTCAAACACAGTTCAAATTTGTAATATATCCTTGGTAGTTTTACACAAATGGATGTTCACGCAGTAACTACTTAACATTATAATTTGACCTATTTTTCGTACACAAAGTGACTCCAAAACTAAACTTTTATAATCACAAAAAATAACGACAGGTATGCAGAAGAAGGACCTTTTTAAATCATTATCCAACAAGGCAATGCAATGATCAATGCTTGTAAAAAGACAAGTATTTTTTTGTACGGCCAGAACAAAAACACAGGCTGATTAGTACTTTAATTATTATTAATTAAAGTACTAATCAGCCTGTGTAATTAGCTAAATGTTGTCGCCTGGATATACAGGGCGATAATATTACCCAGAATCACCCATGGCGCAGTAATGTGGTGGCATAAGGCCTCGTTAAAGTCTAATAAAGTAGAACTAGACAAAGTGCAGAGATTAGCAGCATT